ATCTCGGAAACTGCTACAGCTATGTCAACCAAATTATATAGAGTCGTTTCTTTTAAGCATTTCCATATACAGTTCAAAAATGGAAGAAATTGGATAGTAACCACGCCCACCTCCCATACAAAGGTTATGTTGAAAATTACTAAAAGTGCGTTAACCGACTAACAAAACACGTCAGAAACACTAAATTTTACGGAAGAAATGTCAGAAGGAAGCTGCATCCAGGCTTTTTTTATAAATTGAAAATGGGCGTGGCGTCGCCCACTTATGGGCCAAAAACCATATCTCAGGAAGTACTCAACCGATTTGAATGAAATTCGGTATATAATATTTTCTTAACACCCTGATGACATGTACCAAATATGGATGAAATCGGTTCACAACCGCTCCTGAAATCTAGATTATCACTTTATCATGCGAGAGTATAAAATGTTCGGTGACACCCGAACTTAGCCCTTCCTTACTTGTTATATATAAATATTTATCCATGGTATTCATTGTAGAGTAAAGCAGCTATTGTAATTTAAATGTTCTCATATGGAAAGTATTTTGATTATAGTCCTGAGTTTCTACCGATCATTTTTGCTCAAGTTATCGGTTAATGATTATGAGATCATATAGATGGACATTCGAAACTCACCCTGTCTCGTCCTATTGATCATTTTGGTAAACGTTATATAACACTAGATCTTTCGCTCTTTGCCATAAGTAGTCCGTAAAAAAATATTATATTGGTAGTCGAAAAAGTCTTCTCATACTTCTAGTCACCATTTTGGTCGATTTTTTTTTTGCCATTTTTCATCAGTGGCTTGCGTGGTATTCTTCCCTTTTTTATACAAAACGTGCAAAATATAGCAAATTTATTCATTATGTTAACTCGTTTTTGAACCGCTGTAACTTTTTTCAACTTCCCTGAATTTAATTTTTTTTTTTTTGTTAAATAAAGCTTAAAAACTTGCCTTTTCGACGCAATATGGTATGACACAATTTGATTGGTAGCACTGGAGATACCATATATGACTGTAACGACATCTATTGACAAAATACGAAAATACTCTTTCGACTACCCAATATATGCATTTATCACAATCTCATCACATTTAGGACTTACCTTTTTTATCTTTCAATAAATTATGCTACCGCAAATTTCTAAAACCCAGCTGTACTCCCAGCTATCATACAGTATTTCATAAATCCCAAGGCTAACCACAATTCCCACCTAACAATAGCATATTCAACTCAACTAAGTAATCCGCCAAACTTTAATATTGTACGCGCATATATGCTATATATACAATATAAACTATGTATGTACATGTTGCCACACTAAATTTCGCCCAACGTTGCAAAGTAATTGCACTTTGTGGCAGCTACTTTTTGCTGCTTGATTTCTCAAATTTCTCACAGCTAGCGCTATTATTACAACAAAACTCACACAAAGTACGAACACGGACCATCACAATGTTTGCACACTTACCCGTAAATCCTCAAATTAAACGGCAACGTTTTCACCGAAGTCATATAGATGCGCAGCGAGTTTAGACGATCCAACGACAGTGAATCCTCATCGACCGTGAGAATACTGCTGCCACCAACAGCATTGCCACTACCACCGCTACCACCACCAAGTGTGGCGCCATCGTTGCGCAGTAATGTTGCGAGCGCCGAATTCGTTGCGGTGGCGGAGGAGCGTGCCGGTGACATGGCATTACCAGCAGCTGTTGCCGCGCCTGAAGTGATTTCTGTTTGTGTTGTTGCCGCTGCAGCTGAAGCGCCGGATGCGGATGCCGATGATATGGCACTATTGTCGGCTGTTGCTGCCGCCGCCGCTGCTGCTGCTGCTGCAGCTGCTGCTGCTGACGTGGATGATGTTGATGTTGCTAATTGAGATGCTGCAATTGTTTCACGGTTCAACGCTGCTGATTGTGTTAAGAGTTGCAATTTTTTAATTTGCTGCAAGTGAAATTGAAAAGTGAAACACGAGTCAGTGCGAAATAAAAAAGAAAACAACAACAAACTGTAAATACGAGTATAAGCAAGTTAAGTGAAAGGTAATCGCCTGTGTTGTGTTGAAGACGTACATAATTAAATTACGTGTAGGGTTTACTCTATTGAGTGGCACAGTGTTGCCGACGTGAGTGATTTACTGCGGCACACCTGTTACAATCTAACTTGGGAAATTAAGTTGAAGACAGATTGGTTTCTGGTTTTGCGGCACAAGCGTGTGTTGTGAGTGAGTTTTTGTAATTTTGAGTTCTGTTTCGCTATTTTGCGTTAAGTGCAGTGTGGCTAGTTTAAGTTTCTTTTGCTTGGTGTAGGCTAGAGTGCGTTGAGTTAGGGCAGGTTTTGGAAAAGTTTCTTAATTTCAAGAACTTAGTTTAAGTTTAGGTGTACAGTTTATTTTAAAAATATTATTATTATTAAAAAAATGTATTTTGCTAAGTTGGTAGGATTGTCCTTAAGTACTATGCTGAATTTGAGCACCATGTGTCAGCCAGTTTTTTACAGCAGCTGTGTAAATCGGTATACCTCATTAGTGCATTGCGATTTTTACAAAGGAATTTGTCTCAGATTTCAAATTTCTATCCAAATTTCGTGTCTTATGAATGTTGTATAAGGCTTGTTGAGATTCAGTTTTATCAAATTCACAATCCTACGATTGGTACATATTCTTCAAACACTTTCGTAAGATGGTTGTAGGCAAATCTCCCTAAACCTCTTCAACTCATAAAAATATTTAAAAAGTGATGGATGGTGCTTGGAAACCGCCAGGAAAGTGTTAGAGAGGTGATAGAAGAGCTCGACATCTCTCGCGAGTTCGTTCGAATAATTTTGGGGACATTTTGGGTATGAAGTGCGTGTTTGCTTGACTTGTTCCTATAAAGCTGAATTTTTTCAAAAAGAGTACCGTAAATATATCTGTTTGGACATGCTTGATCGCCTGAATTCCGATTCCAAATATATGGGGAGCATTATAACTGCCGATGAGACATGGGTTTATGAGTTTGACATACAAATGAGCTAACAAATATGAAAATGGAGAAAAACCAAAAACACCACGCCAAGGCCGTCCAAAATTCCAGGTGATTCTCAGCGTTTTTAATGCACTAAGCGCGAGGGGGTGACTCCGTCTTCAGTTTCGAACAGCTGATGAGATTCTTTCGAATGTGGCCTCTGTTAACTTACTGCTTCGTCGAAAACTAGACCGGTGGATCGAAGTCTTGAGCTCGGCATGCTAAACTGGGGAGCGCCTGTCCACTAAAACACCGAAAGGCAGAAAGAAACCTTTCTGGTGGACTATAGAATTCAAGGAAATAGGATCGTCTTACAGACGTTTATTCAAGAAGGCCCGTAGATGTGGGTCCACTGACGACTGGTCGTTTTATAGATCGCAACTTCCAATATACAAGTACGAGTTAAGGAAAGCAAAGAAGACTTCGGTGAAAAGCGTCTGCGAAAAAATGGAGGGCTGCCATGAGTCCTTTAGATTCAGGCATACTCTTGCAAAGAACCCCGTATCTCCGGGTTATCTTAAAGAAAGAAAATTTCGGCTGTTCCCTTCCAGCGCAACACGTCCTCGAAGGGTATATCTCTCGGAGTGCTTATGATTGCCCGATCTTTGTCAGCCTTCTGGATGAACGACACTTGATTTCAATGATCAATTCGCTCAGACTCTTTAGGTCCCTTGGACCGGATGGTATCATATCAGTTCAGCTGCAATAGACTCTTAAGGTGTTATGCAACTAGTTGGCAACTATCTATGCGTACTGCAAAAGACTGTGTTATATCCCTGGGGCATAATAGACCCTAGGTCGCATACTATCGTGTCATGGTATGATATTGAGGAAGCTTTCCTCCCGAAGGCAGTCGTTACTGCTCTGTACGTTCTTGGGGTTGAATCAAACCTCAAGTAGGGGAACCCCACAAAGTGGAATTTTTCTCCTCTTCTACGGATCCTGGTCTTTATTGACCTACTTAAAAAACCTTGAAGGTCGTGGTTAAAGGGTGATTGCCTATGCAGAAGATGTAGAGCTTATGGTCAAAGGCAAGTTTCTGAGTACTGTTTACGAATTGACCTCGGTATTCCTCGGCGTCGTAACCAATAGGTCTCCTCATCAACCCAAATAAAACCGAGATGGTTTTATTTACTATAAGGTACAAGATTCCGGCTGCATCGCTGTCGCTAATGAGAGACATCCGTCTGCAACCAGTGGACCTAGTGAGATATATAGGGCTTATCCTGGATAGAAAGTTCTTATGGAAGCCGAATATGGAAGGCATCGGTTGCCTTGCACTGCTGTAGAAGAGCCATTGGCAAAAGGTGGCTCCTAATCAGTTATGTCCGAAAAATGATAAATCCTTCTACTCTCTTGCTTGATTTGCAAATTACTTGGGAATTGTTTTACGGAAAAGCGAAAATCTAATGAACAACGTACGAACGTAAAGTTAACCTTTGACATCCCATTATTCCATTAATTTAACCGATTTCAATTAATGTTGTCTAATATTCCAAGCTAAGCTCTTATAATAAATGCTAGCTCTGACTTTGACCTAATTTCTCATACAAATAAATTATCACCGCTTGTTCTAGTCTGCATTAATAAATAAATTTGTCAACAAACGTCAATCTATTTGTCTTTATTTATTTATTGCGTCAATTTGTTTGCTTAATTTATAACTAACAAATTGACAGCTCAGCATAAAACGCAGAGACGCATGCGGACAACAACAGTCTACACGCTAACTTTGCTACCAATATCCGCTCTGCCAAATCAGGCTTGACATTGACATATAAATTACATGGTACTTAATTTCTGTGTCATCTTATTTATATCGTTTAAGTATTCCATGTTCAGCCGGATTTATTTGTTGACTTTTTAACTGAGCTGAGCTTAGGCGATTCATTACAGTTGAGTCGGCAGACGGGAGGACATATTGACATGCATAAAATTTCATACATTTTCTATACCAGAATTTTTGCTAAAACAAATTTTTGTTTATTTTTAGCCAGCATAGGCACTTGATTTTATGAAAAGCATTCTGCTTATGTATGAAATAAAGTGGAAAAATGAAATAATACATTTTCCGAAATTGTTTAGAAAACAAACAGAAAATATCTGAATATGAAATTTTCCAAGTTGCTCACAGTTAAACAGTGATTTTCCGCTTGTTAACTGCTTATATTTAAGCAAATGTGAGAACAATTTATTATATCTAAATATAACTGTATTGAAAAATATTTTTATTTTCAGGTGTTAAAGTAATGGTATAAGTTGTCATTGAAAAATCTGGTATTCAGATCGAAAGTATTGAACAGAAAGTTGTAAAGGAAGATTTATATATAGAATAGATATTATGAAGACTAGCGGAATTTTAAACTTTTAACAGAGTATATTATGTTCACCACGAAATGTGTAATACAATGTATTGTCGGGGACCCTATAAATGATAATGGAAAAAATGATCAGCGTGACGTGCTGAACCGATTTAGTCGTCGTCTTTGTCTCTATAAACGCAAACAAGTCCCTAAACTATGAACTCTGGGACTGTGAACCATAGATTGCATAATTGGTCTCACATTCGAGGATGTCTGAGCCGAACAACGGCTTTACCTACAGCAAATAGAAAGGTACGATCATCAATCGCTCAAAGAAAGGCAATAAGTTAGATTCTAAGAACTAACAGGCTTTCGTCCACGATGTTTCTGCGTTGACCGACTAAATGTTCTATATGTTATAATAGAACAATCAGTAGTTGGGTGCTCCCCGCTCTATCTCACAATTTTTCGACTTCCAGAAGGCGTACAACACACCGCAACATATATTATGCGTTTTCTGAAATCTGAAATACTTTAGTTTAAAGAAGGATTCGCTTTAAACTAATTGAATTAATAAAAGCGTTATACTATGGGGTTATACAATAGAGGAATCGAGTTGACGTATTTTGTAAGAGAGATCAGTACTCGAATAAAAGCTGGAGTGGACGTACGTCAAGGCTACGTACTGTCGACGCTTTCGTTTAGCATCGTATTGGATGTAGTAATGGAGAAAGCTGCGCGCGAAATGAAAGGAATTATCTTGGGTTTGAATTGATGCCTCGAAGACCTAGACATATATTCAGTGGCATGCACATGACACCCAGCTACGTTGCAAGAATTACAGCTAAACTCGGTGTCAGCATAAACATCGGCCAACCAAAGAAATGCCATCTATACATGCTCAGAACTCGAAAACGTGAAATGCTTTTTAGTGACTTAACTAAATAGTAAATGAAGGATCAAAGCAAGACATCACCAACTGTATGAAAAAGATGAAGGAAGCTATCAAGTTCACACATCTATACGGCTGTGAAACATGGCATCTCGTGGCTTCTAACACCTAAAAGATGCAACTTATCACCAATCGATGCCTTCGCATTATTTGCTGTATTATCTGGCCCGTCACCGTCGTTAACTTGTACTTATGGTCACGCGCAAACATCCCTTTTGACCGAAATTCTCAATGGAAAATAGCGGTTCGGACATGCAGAGACAGGATCAAAGGACAATCACTTAGAACGCTATCGACTGGAATCCATAAAGCAGCCGCCAGAAAGGTCTACTCGCTCTAAATTGGAGAAGAAATTTGGATATCGAAATATGTTTGGTCTAAAAGAGTTTGAGTCAATCAATGATGCTAGCACAAGACCGAAATGAATTAATGAGTCTCATTGTGGCCCTTTCCTCAGCAGCGGAGAAATATATATGCATAAAAACTTAATCTCCAAAACTGCCTTCTCTCCGAAATAAGAGTGGAAAACAGGCGAGGCGGATAGGGACGCAGGGAAAACTTCCATTGATGAGTGGAAAGTGACGTATTTTCAGCAAAACCAGACACCATAGGGGCCTTCTTTCTAACAGACCACTACAGCAGCTTTCAAACAGATATCATAGTTTAATTACTATTTTTTGTTCT